CACCAGGCTTGAACGGGTGCAGTCGTGATATCACTGTGCTAGAAGATAGAGGACCCGCCTATCGTCATGGCGCAATCAATCCTCTCCTCCTAGCAGTAAAAGCCCCCGGAAGACGGCCGGTTTCTGTACTCGGGTGTGAGTAGCAGAGCTTCTGCTCAGATGAAGATGGTTACCCGGAAAATTAATGAACACAGTAACGCTGGTTTATATAGGAGCTGGAGGCGAATAGCCGTTGCTTCGATTTTGCATCTGTTACGCATGATCCGCATAACTCCCCGCGCCAACTCCGCATCCGTTACGAACAGGTCACGCGGAAGAAAACGGTAAAAATAAAAGATCTGAGAAACAAAGAAGTGTGCGGCGCAGCGTGCGCGCACACGTGTGTGATAGCAATAGCCCAAACAGTATAAGGCACAAAACACTTACTCAAAGCCCAATGTGATGTGAACCAATATAAACCTCTTGGACTTCTTTCCATTTTCCAATGTGGAGCTATTCACAAAGGCAAAATTACATTTTCCATGAACAGTATTAACATTCTTCTCCTTCAACCCCTCCAAACTCAAATTTTATCTACCCCTTTACCCAATAAGAATTTTCTTCAACGCTTTTCAATACTGTTTTGATTCTCCATACGAGATAACGCATGTAATCATCCAAGAAAGGTCGAAGAGCTCACTCGTCAAAATTCACCATCACCACCGTCTTCTACAAGCAGGCTACAAGCAGGCACCTCATTATCAAACAAGATTTAGACGCATAACAACGTGGCTCATGAATTTGTTATGCTTCTTTGTGTCCATAAATTCCTGATGTGTCGCAATACGAGTGAAGAACTTTCATGGATACAGAACGAGCTCCTCTAACTCACAATCCAACAGTAACTATCGACCACACCAAGAAGCATTAGCATGTCCAATGATGCAAAGAGTGTTCTGATGTAATTTTACTGCATTAATATGTCTTTGATCACTAATTAGTTCTGAGGTAAAAATCAAACTGCAAATCAGTTTATTAAGAGAAGCCTAAGTACTGCTCCTAAGTACATCAGGGGGGAGAAAAAGACTACGGAATCAAGTAGAATACTGCTCTTCTCCTCTTTCTCAAGACCCTGATTCTGGCATTCCCAATTTGCTAGTGAAGGGAAAAAAGAGAATCCAAACTGCAGCATGAGATTAATAAAAACATCCAAAACTTAGGGCCAGTGCGATATTGCTGGAGCTTATAATATCAACTTGCTTATAAAAGCACATTAGAAGCAACTTATATAAACTGTTGGAAATAACAGTTAGGCAATCGAATATCAAAAATTGCTTAAGAAGCAAGTAAAGCGTTTGATGGAGCTGTGTAATGATTATCGTGAAAAGATAAAAAAGTAAACTTAAAAAAAAAGTAGAAGCTACTTTTAAAAGCGTCATCAAGTTGCTTCTAAAAGCACCCCTTCAAAAGCAGAAGCAGTTTCAATAAGCATACCAAAAATATTTTTACCAAACGTCATATTATTGGATGCTTCTTGAAAAAATAAGTTGAAACACCCTTAAAAAAAAGCAATACTAAACTGGCCCTTAGTCCCCTGCTAAAATATTCACACTGATCACGGTTGCCTCTATTAAAGCTATCAAACTCAAGTTTATCCCTTGATTCTATCTCACAAGACCCCTACAGTGGCATACTTCCGAAGAGCATCCTTAAAAATCCTCAAATTCCAATTAACAGTTTCATGTCTCACAGTCTTGGATGGAAAACGTACGTTCTGGTCCTGCTTTACTTAAACCCCCAACGTTATTGACTAAAAATAAGAAAATGGATAGTTGCAATGTCCCAACTTAACAAAACCCTGTCCAACTTAGCACTGAAGGCAGGGAGGGGTTCCATGACAAAGGAAGTGCACATAAGACGCCAAATTTCGGATACTACTTGCATCTTACACTTGAAAGTCCAGCAACAATTCAAATAGAAATCCATAACTTCTTCCAACTTCATTCCATTGACAACTGAAATTACAAATGGTTTAGTTGCCTGCCATGGTGCAACCCGATAAAACCCAGGCTTAACAGAGATAAGAAGAGGGAGGAAAGTCCTAATAAGGGAACCTTGTATACGTTAAGGAAATCAAATTCAGTTACCATCTGTATCAGGTAAGTAGCATAATATGAGATGGTAGCTTTTCAGGTTCACTTCATCACTGAGGAGGTAAATGGCTCAAATCAAGCTCGGTACTTCTTCGGGCTTCATTCCCTTAAGGAATCCCTCCTCACATGTCAGTTTGGAAGCGGAGCTTCTGAGGGACGCAGGCTTCCTGCCTCCATTACTTTCTCCCCCGAGAAACCAAACACGTTCCCTGCATGCAGACACTGATTGCATGCATCAGTAGTAGGTTGGGCTAAGTACCGACACAAGCGCACAGCTAAATGCTAGAAAGAGAAGCTCTGACGCCATCTCCAGTAAGAAACTTTATCTTGTGCAACCTAAGCAGTGGCAATACCGATTTTGCGTTTTCCCTAATGAATGCACCTAAACTCAGCAGTAAATGACTCATAATTTGCGGAACATTAGTAAAATTTTTGAACAGCCTTCTTCTCCATCAGATAGATCCCCATGTTGAAGAGAGAGAGAATGGAAAGTGTATCAAGATTGCTCATGCAGAAAATCAGGAAAACACCAGCAAAGGGTGGGTAATCAATTGGAGCTCCTAATACGTACCATACCTCATTGGACGCATATTACCTAACGCCCCTCTTGTTTTTATTGTAAACTGGATCAACTAAACCAATCTATGACAAAGAAAAATACACCTAATTTACTGCAAATATTCCGGGATGCCTACAGGATCCCATTTCTTGAGCTTTCCCCCAAGTCATCTCCTCTATCAATTAAGAGCTAATATATCCCTCGTTGGTCCTTCGTCAATATTCCATTAGATCTATGTACATAATCGTTCCTTCATCAACTACAAGAATCACCACTAGTCTAAGTTGCACGCGTACTCATGCGGGTGCGGGAAGCAAATTAGTAAAAGGTATGGTAGGGGGTCATGGCTAAAACTCATGGGTTATAATCATAGTTCTAAGCTATATATGTAAATGACCGTTTTAAATTGTAGCTCTTGAGACTGAAACGAACTTGACCCTTATCCAACAAGTTACAAAAATGGATGTGAAGTGTATAGGATATGTACTCAAGAAGCGTATGATGAGTGTCTTAAATTAAACATGTATTGTATAATTCAGTACATGTCTGAATAAGTATATGCATATATGTAATTGGTTTCCAAGAAGTGTCGGCTACGAGTACATGTACAAGTACGATACGTGTCGGGAACAGCTCCATATTAGAAGTACCCAAGCAACATAGCCACTCGTTGAGGCCACACTAGTAATGCTACAAAAGCAGCTCTCAACTCAAGAAGTTTTTAGTTCCATTCCAGAGGGGGAAAAAATCTAGTCAATGAAGTTTTTAGTTCTTCCCATGATCACGTTTCTTATTAAATTATGTTCATAAATGAAATTACATGTATTTCATTCTCTCGTTCATCCTGGCGATTTTACAACGTGTCAGATCTCTCTACTCGCTACAATATCATTAGAAAACGACATGTAACATGTGACTTCATATTGATTTCTGAATCACATCAATGCAAATAAAAACTTCATATTCTTAATCACACTAATACGAACCAATTCTTGAGCATGATGAGATACAGCCCAAGCCAATAGACGAAAATGCTTACAATACACGAAGGATGAGTATAAAAAATAATTACACATGAAGCATAGTGGACAAAATTCCTTGCACATCCTTTATCTATCTAAAAGATTATTCTTTCTACTTCATTAAGGACTTCTTTATGGTCAAGTTTCTACCATTCCTTCAGTGTCGAGCAAAAAGACATGACAAGGGATAAAAGTTACATGACTTCCATACACCATTGATTCTTAATTTCATTGATTACATGTCTCATAGACAACACCCAACAGTTGACTTTCTTGAAGACAGCCAAGCTGATTGGTTTATGATTCTTAATTTCATTGGTTACATGTCAAATGGATTTTTCAGCCTTCTAATTCACCACCGTCTAAAAGATATTTCATTGTAGTCACAAAAAGACAGAAATAACCACAAGCATACTGATCTCATTTAAGATGCTATTGAAACATAAGTATCAGTTACAATAGTTTAGTTTCCAACCACAGCAGCTGCATATCAAAAAAGTGCAAGTTGAAACAATTCTAGAAAGTGAAACAGGATGTTGGTATTGCTTAAAAGTTATTTTCTCTGCAAAGTACTGTGAATTTTCCAAGGCTAATTGAATCAATTAAGACAGACAGAACGTCAAGAAATCTGCCACTGCGATAAGAGGGTATGTTTGGTTACGTGTAGTAGTTACATGTAGTTGGAACCCCATGCATGTTCTTCCAACTACACCTAACTTTAAAAGTGTTGCTTAGTTAGATATTGCAACGCTAAAAAGTTGTTGTAACAACAAAATAAGACAAAAATAGAGGCGACGGAACAACACTCAAATTCAAGGTTGTTGCAACACCATGAGTTGCAACACCATCAACATTTGTTGCTCTAATTCCTCCTAACCAAACGTACCATAAAGGTGCAGCAAAGAAACTCTTAAAAAAATTTAAAAACAAATGAGGACATAGATGGTGAATGTGAACGAATATTTTAACATAATGCTTTGAAAGATGATCTTTCCAATCAGGATTTCAGGTAGATGTCTAGTTTCTCAGCATGTTCAGCTTGTTGCTAGAAAAAGAACTAGATTTACAGTAGGTCCTACTGATCAAGACCGAGAAAAATATATGCCAAGATGCCCAAACTATTCAATGATCAAAGTTCTCAGATATAAAATTTCAAATTCATTAACTATAGTTGGCAATTTCTCAATGTCCATTGCTCAAATACCATATCCACCATCAGTTCATATATGAGTATATCATAAAATGATCCCAATGCGCACAGAATATGACAACAACAAAATGTGAGGCTTAAAAAAGAACAAATTATACATTTCTTTCTCTTTTTCATGTTAATACATTATATCATGTCCTTTATTTTCATCCAACTCTCAGGTCAAAAATGATACGAATTACAACAACATTGAGTCCAAAAATGTTGGTCAACCAATGAATAACCAATAACGGCCATCTAAGCAAAAACAATAATCCGAAAGCAAAGAATCAGAAAAGAAAAAACCTGAACCAGGATCAGCTTTGAGCTGCTTCAACGGCTGTTGCTTCTGCTGCTGCTTCTGCAGCATCTGCTTCAAGCTTCTTCTTATTCTTCTCAATTGCTGCTGCTACCTCCGCCGGCATATACTTTTCATCATGCTTCGCCAACACCTCAGTTGCCTTGAAATAACAATCTTCCATCTTCGCCTTATCTGAAACCTTGTGTCCCCCTTTACCCGCTCCCTCCTCCCCCTCGAACTTTTTCACAAACCCCTCAACCACCACTGAATGCCCTTCCCTAAATAGATCAGGCAGTGAGCCCTCGTACCTAAAATTGGTGGAATAACAATTGCTATTTTGAGAATTCTCTTCACAATTAAGACTTATAAGTACAAAGTTAGATAACCCAGAACGAACTTTAGAACTAACTAGCCGTAAAATTGCGGTGAAGTCCATCTCAATAAAATTTCTGATACGTTCAACATACACATGAGGGGCGGGGAGTCAAATTTTCTTTTTTTCTTTTTATTTTCTTTAAATACCTGACGAGAATGTCGGTGATAAGATCGGTGATGACAAACTCCATCTCCGGCGAGCTGGAGCTCGGATGAGCGACGCTCCCCTCAAGAACAAGCCCACCCAATCGAAACCTGGTCCTCGCCGGATTCTCCTTGTACTTCTGCATCGCGTCCGTCGGCGTTATATAGAAAACGAGCTGATCCTGGAAGTTGGCGAGCACGATGACAATGAATCCTGCGACGCAGCTGAAGGTGAGAGCGTAGGTCCAGAGGCGCTGTCGGAGGAGAGGACTGAGGGGAGAATTAGGGTTAGGGTTAGGGTTTAGGGGTTGGAGGTGGAATTTGGAGGAGCGGAGGAGAGGGGAGAGGTGAGATCTGAGGCGAGAGTTGAGGATTCGGGATGCCATTGAGACAAAGCGCGATGAGGAAACCCTAGGAATTGGTCTGATCTTTTGGAGAGGAGATTTTTGGGACCTGCGTCTCGGGGAGCAAAATTGAGGAGAAAGAGAGGAGGGGGTCGGCGGTCGAGGGTCGGATTGTCAAGCACGACGACCGGTCGCTCCTACGGGTCTCATAAAAACAGGTTATCAAACCCGAGAAGTTTCTGGGTGGGTAAAATCTTGACTAGTGTATTTATTTATTTATTTATTTATTTATTTTTGGACAAATTTTCGTTTTAGACCTCTTTAGAAACTTATTTGTAAAAAATTAACATATTTCGAAAATATTTACCAAACTCAACCCAATTTCAGTCAGAACTGACTAAAACTGGTTCGAATTTGGTAAAAAAAACATCGGAAACTTTACGGGACTTCAAGTCCCGTGAGGTTTAAGTCCCCATTGCTAACTTAATTAACGAAGTAATGGGGGCTTAAAGATGTTTTTTGGCCAAATTCGACTCGGTTTCAACCAGTTGGCTGAAACTGTGTCGAATTTGGCAAATATTTTCAACAATCCAAGATCCAAGATTCCTTCGATGCACCATTGATATTATGAATATGAACGAATACAAAATAAATCGACGTTGCTGTTATGAATATGATTGTAGAAAATATAGATCCACTGACATGCATCCTGGCGGTGAAGCCCATGAACTAAATGGAGAACTCAAAGCGAGCCTAAAGAGCAAACAGAATGATAAAGAGGTAGGGGTATTATCCGAAAGTCAATAGTACTAAAAGAGGCGAGCTCGTAATATGACATCCGAGCTCGTAATCTCACAGAAGACTGGAATGCTTAGCAAGCAACACAAAACGTGAACAAATACATGATGGAATTATAAAGAAAAGCAACAGTGCACTAGGCTCTTTGAATGTTGATCCGCTCACGATATTATACATGCAAAATGCCAAAATAATCACAGCAAAATGATATGGGACCCAAAATACATATTCTTGAAAACTGTGAAACCTATCAATCACTCTTGAACTTGAGCTTTGTTACAGACACCTCACATGCCCCCCCTGTTGGTCCCATATTTTGAGTCCTTGGGGAATATTTTATCACTCTTTTAACTTATAACCATACAAAAAAAATCCTAAGCGGAGTGGGATGCGGAGAAGGAAGATGGTCGAAAAGGAAAATTCAAACATCATATTATCAGTCAAAATTCCATCTCCAACAGCAACTTGAGAAGCAACAATTTCGTCCATGGTTCAGGTTGTGAAAAGAAACGAATTAAGCTTTACAATGAAACACTGCAAACAAGAAGCATTATAGACGTTGGAAACAATCAAAATTGCAGCAATCTTAGCTTGAATAATCACAATGAATTTATCCTCAATACAAGATCATTTACAATGAAACACTGCAAACAAGAAGCATTATAGATGTTGGAAACAATCAAAATTGCAGCAATCTAAGCTTGAATAATCACTATGACTTTATCCTCAATACAACATCCCCCCGCCCCGCCCTCCCTCTTTTTTTGTTGTAAAATATATCAAACCTTTGTACTGTATATAGCACAATCATAAAAAATAAAAAAATAATAATAAAGGTTGGTATTCATGTTGTTTAACGTCCAGTCACGCTATTTTGGCATGAGGAGAGTTGATATACACTCGTTACAAAACCACCAAAATAAATAGGGCCCTAGAGGCTCTGCACTCCCACTCATCCTTGATTTTACTTTTTTTATTCAACCTGTTCTGAACTTCGCTTGTTTCTTTCTGTTTTTTCACCTGTATGGCATTTTTTTAAGATATCAATAAACATAAATACAATCTCCAAATTTATGCACGCCTGCCCCTCCTTTGGTTGTTTTGTTTTGGCTTCAAGAATTATTCTGCAACAAAGCACAGCATGTAAATGTCCAGAAAATAGTGCCAATAAACTGTTAGGGAAAAAAGAAAGAAAGAAAGAAAGAAGCAACCACACGCATCAGTAATTGCAATTTCAATCTGACATTTAAGCTCATGCAATATCAACGACTCTTCCCCTGGACTAGGGAATAATCTAAACAAAGAGGTAGATTTGTCGTAGAAATATATTTCTCTCTAAAGCCTGAAAGAAGCAAAGTCAAGCTAAACAAAACAGCATTTGCCTAAGAGATTTTGTTGTTGAAAAGAAACATACTAATTAGGGTTAATTGCACATAAACTGCCTGCAATACAGGGATGCACCGCTTATGACCCTTAAAACTTTAAAATAGACATGCACCCCTGAGAGTCCTTTAATAAAAATAAAAAAATAAAAAATAAAAACACTTTTCCTCTCAAGAGGTCTATCTGCAAAATAAACCCATCTCTCCACTCCTCTCTCCTTTCTATCATCTTTTTCGCCCCCAACCACCCTCTTACACATCCATCCACCCTCTCTTTCACTCACCGTCCAACTTGATATCAAGGTCATTTACAACTTAAATGGATGCAAAAGGACTTGTGTAGGAATAATATATCTTGATGGGACAGCATCCTAATGCAATTCAGAGTTGTGTTATTCCCAGGGTGGCCTAACAGTATATCTATTTGAAGAGCAGACTGAGGATTCTTATCTCCAGGTATTGATCACCATGTTGTTTGACAAGTTCAACAACCCGCACCCCTAATGTTTAATCCATAGAGAATAATCAAGGTTGAAAAGGAGATGACCACAAGGCTCTCTTTTTTTGTGGCTTACAACATACTTGCTGTAGGCAACATGTTATTCGGAATGAATTATGATGCTAACCAAATTTGTGTCAAAAGTAGGGATAAACTTTTTGAATGAAAGCTTCCTTGATGTAGTATAAAAGATTCCATTATTAACATAAAGGCAAGCATGATGATCATCATTAGTGTCTACTCTGATGGTTAGAGATATAAACTTCGATATATGATACAGGGTCATAAATAGAGATTGATCTTTTCATCATTTTGAATGGAAGTATCAATACCAGGAGCTTGAACGGGTATTAAGACCATATGTTATTCTCAATCCAAGTACTGCATGAAGGAGTCCCGATGAAGCCACGGATAATTAGACAGTGGTTTTGTTTTTCATATATGAAAATCTTACATTTTTGTTAAAGTTTTGTATTGAAAAAACCTTTTTGTAAAAGATAAATCTTGCTATGCCGATGGTCTTCATGATTGATCATGATGATTTATTTGTCCAAACCGTCTTTGTGCAGAAGAAGTCAGGATGTATCCTTTTTTGACCTATAGGCCTTGCATTTGACGCAGCCTTCTACTGCGTTTGAGCTCTGAAATAATGTTTCTGATGTGAAGTCGGTTAAGATTCAATCTTTCGTTTTTCTCAAGCTTATGTTGTATTGCCTGTGTAACAACCTCCATTTATGCTGGTTCAGAGATTTCTAACATGCATCTAGTCTTTTAAGTTATTAAGTACCAGCATAGAAAGGACAGGAATCAGGAGAAAGAATCGTTTTCGCAGAATAGACATCCTTCGGTGTCCTAAAAAAAAACTCAAACAAGCCCACTGAGTGTCTGTGCCTATTTTAACAGGTTCAAGGTAATAAGTGAGTTATCCCGATGCAGCCGGCGGGTTAGGGGAGGGCGGGGGGTTTGGGGGGCAGGGGGGTTGTGTAATTGAAATTACGCCCTAATAAATATCCGTAAATATATTAACCTACAGCTTGCGTAAATTATACACAAATTACAGTCTAGATGCAAATAATTCGACCCTCACATCAATCTGCGTAGAAGTGGTCTTATTCTATAATTCGCCCTACAAACCCTCAATTTCCGCTAAGGATCTTAGGATTTGCTGACCCGATCTAAGCAACCGCTCACGCCAGTTAATTTGCTGCCATAAGTAGCGCCACTAATATTAAATAGGTAATCAAGTTGAACATCGTACTTAGGCTTTTGCAACATACATTTGGTGGACCCATGAGACTTCTTCAATTTCTCGTCCTGGATGCCACCCCCCCCCCTCCCTACCCCCCCCAAGCCTTTTTCTCTCCCCCCGACCCACCAAACCCAGAAAAAAGCCACCAAAATGCTGCCATCAACAATGGCACCAAAAAGCTGAAAGGTTGTTTGTATATCCAAATTAACTTTATGATCAATCAGCTCTCAAACTTATATTATAATTACAGTCACTCCACTCACATTCAGCTTTCTCTTCTTCTATTGTCCTGGTCATTGCACTCTGTCTAAGGCTACAGCTACCACTGTCTCCATCAGTACCTCCATCGCATTGTTATTCCTCCTGTTGTCCACCTGTTCTTAATGTTACTGCATCACTGCTGAAACTGAAACTCTTCTTCTCATTTAAGTTTAATGTATTTTCTGATTTTAGGTATTCAATATCCATTTCTAAAAAGAAATTTCAATGTAAAAGCCTAAGGAACAGCTAGGTGCCTGGGCACTTGGCACCTGAAACTTTTCTTCTCACTTCATCCTGTTTGTGTTTCTCTGGGAAAGAAACGATACACACTGCTTGCATTAAGTTGATTTATGCAAATATCAGCTGATCTTATGTTGTCCAGAGCCCCGTAACAAATCACGCACAACATAATCGATTCACTAATGTCATCTAATTGTGCCTATTCTTCGTGCCACCCTTGCTACAGTATCAACATGTACAGATGAATCAGAAAATGAATATAAACTAAATCGTTATAAAAAGATAAGCAAGAATAGTGCTAAGTTTGCGCTAATAAGGTAAACTCTCCTCCCACAAGCATAGATACACGAGCAAAGAAATAAAAAGTTGAAGAAATAAGGTTATAACCATTCCAGAGTTGACCTCATCACCAGTGACATATGCTGCCAAGTAGATGTGCAGGAGACCAGGCAGAATTATTCTGCAGAAAGGATAAAGAGCATAATCCCTGGTCATATTATTAACCCTGACAAAAATAAATAAATAAGTCAAAAAAACCCTAATTCAGGAAAATGGAAAAGAACCCAAAAATGAAGGCTGAATAGATCTAAAGAACCAGAGAGCTTATGCACTAGCACAGTATCATTTCATTGCATCATGTTTTAACATTAGAGGTATTTGAGAACATTGATTACTTCTGACAAACCTATGGTGGTATAGCTTTAATACAAGAACATGGGGAAAGGGGCCTTATACATACAATCTGTATGTTTGTGCGTGCGTATTTTTATCCCATACATAGAGGAGCCACATTCAGGAAAAGCCTGCATCCTTGATAAGTATTGAAGGCAGTGCACTTACAAAATAAACAAATGTCTGCTTCAAAATGCTGAAGCAAAAACAAAACTGGCAATGTTGGTTCAAGCTACTACTTACAATTAAATTATAGAGGAATCATATGCTCCTGCAATGTTTAATCGGCTAAAAAAGTCCGAGAGCCTGAGATAACAAGATATAGAAGCTTGCATCAGAAAGGGAGCAATTACAATGCAATAGCACATCAATGACTTGCGAAGAAGAGAACCTAATATCTTTAGCAATCACAGTGTTTCCATCTTCGGCATCAAGGTGTCTCAGTGCCACTTGCTCTAAACTCCCATCTCTGTAAGCATGCTGAAATAAATAAACAAGGTATGCAATGTCAAGATAACCATTAGCCAAACGCCAGAGTAACCCAACAGTTTTCATTAATAAAAAAGCTCTGCAGTTCTACAAGACAACATCAAAATTGATGTCACAAAAATTAACAAACCTCAAAGTCCCCACTAACAAGCTTCAGCAATATCACTAGTTCAACAGAAATTGTGATATGAATGCACTCTTATATGTTGAACAAATGAACAATGTCATTTACTGGAAAGCAGACCTCTTAGCCCATTTGCAAGAAAATATTAGTGCAATATTATCTAAAAAGCATGGCATACCAAGAAAAAAAATTTCTCCTTCCATAGACCAGAAAAATAGTAGCCATTAAACTAAAAAATTGAAGTACGCATTGTAAGATGGGGACCAGTAGCCGGAAAGCAATCAAATATGTCAAAATGAAGTAGGCATCCAAAGAATAAACAAGGACTACCTGACATTACGACAATATGCAGCTACATAGATAACATTAAGTGAGTAGCTTTCAGCTAGACTTTCAGAATTTGTCTACTAAGAAATTAAATCAGTTACTAAGGACATAAGAGTAGCAGCACATTAGCTGTCCATAGAGAAAACTGCCTGATCTTACATTGGTGTAATTTTGGGAATAATGGGATAATTTTTGGAACAACAATGTTTGGTGTTATTCATTGGGGTATTTGGAACTGGAGCCAACTTTGTGGTGTTATTGGTTTGTTGGGATAAATGGGGGACAAATACCCCACTTTTCCCCAAATTACCCCAACTATATAAGCACTCCTCAGCCCCACCCTCCAAATTTACCCCATTTTTTCCCCTGGAACAAGAAGGGAACAGAATTAGCCCACTTCCGTTCTCAAGCTCCATCGTCGCCGTGCTCGAGCTCGATCGCCGCTCCGCCGTCATCATTCACAAGCAGGGAGTTCCCCACCGTCATCTCCTCCGCCTCCTCCGCCGCCGCCATCCGCAGCGGGAAGTACACCGGAGCTGTGCACAGGAGATGGAGGCGACGTAGGAGGCCGCGGCGCCGCTGTGGAGGAGGGGTGGGGACGGCGGGTGATCAATCTCAACCTCGTCGTAAGCCCTCTATCCTCCTTATTTTACTTGAATTCGACGAATTTCTCAACAATTTACAACTAGGGTTTGCTTTTCCCCCATTTCAAATCACCCCTTTTAACCCGTGTTTTTGATGAGTTTCTCAATTTGGGTCTCTTTATTTCGATGAATTAGGGCATTTCTACACCTGTCCATTGATTTTGAGCTTGTATGGGTTAATGGGTAGTTGTTTTAATTTCTACTGAAGTCCATTGATCGTGGGGGGGAAAATCTACGTTTTGTGGTGAATAGTTCTCTGTTTCTATTGGGTTGGAACTGATGTACTGGAAGATGATCAAAACAGTGAAGCTGAAGAACCTGGTTCTTTACCAAGTGAACCTGATCGCTCTCCTGGTGCTCGTCCTAGAAGCTGAAAAAATCTACGCTTTATATGGTTACCTTGTATTTATAGAGTTCTCTACAACCCAGAGCATTCGGATGGACATTGTATATATGTTTATAAATTCTTTGTAATTCTTAACTTCAATGTAATCGCTATTGTTTTGTCTATGCAAGTCTTTCTGTTTGTATCAGAGAGATTCTTCAGTTACCGAAATATGCAGGTTAATTTATTGTGTTTGATTCATAAGAAACAGTGCAATAATAAAAGACTCGAGTGATTCTTAATCAAGAGTCGTGATTACAAGCAGTGTATTTCTCATGGTCATATGTTGAGAAATGCTGGTCGTTTGTTTTCGTCAACTGATGCTTTGCAAGCTACAGTCATATGTTGAGAAATGCTGGTTGTGTATTAATATTATTATATTATTTTTAATATTTTATATGAAAATAATCTTAAAAATAATATTATTGTATATTATAACTATTATTTATTTAATCATTTGATGTTATATCAAGTTAAACTTGAACTTAATTGAGCTATAAATATAATATTATAAAAAGATGTCATACCAATTGTCCCACTCAAATTGTCCCATTATCCCATTTTACCCCACTTTATCCCACTCAAATTATCCCATTGGGTAAAATTATCCCATTGGAACAATTTTACCCAATTTACCCCAAATTACCCCAATGAATAACCCCCCCTTAAACTAAAAAATTGAAGTACGCATTGTAAGATGGGGACCAGTAGCCGGAAAGCAATCAAATATGTCAAAATGAAGTAGGCATCCAAAGAATAAACAAGGACTACCTGACATTACGACAATATGCAGCTACATAGATAACATTAAGTGAGTAGCTTTCAGCTAGACTTTCAGAATTTGTCTACTGAGAAATTAAATCAGTTACTAAGGACATAAGAGTAGCAGCACATTAGCTGTCCATAGAGAAAACTGCCTGATCTGGAAAGAAATGCTTGAAGAATCTCAAAGCGAAGTGTTATTTGACAGGCACCACAGGATAATATATTGATGCAATTGCAATTGAAGATGTTATGACACGGACCGTGTTGGTCCTCGTTGCCTGAAGAATTTACCAAATTCCAGGATGTCATAACATGAAAAATCATCTTCAACATGCGGTCAACGTTTCATAATCTAAACTCTCAAGTTCATCTCAAATAACTAGTTGAGAAGCAAGTTCTCTTTAGTTCCTCCTCATCTATGAAAAATGCCGTGGCCTGTATCTACAACGCATATATAGCACTGACAGAATTGCTAAGACAGCCAGTAGCACGGATACTATTTGCAACAAACTCAATGCATTTGACATAGATTATTGACATTGAAGTAGACAACTGTTTCTAAAACCCGCTCCACCTTTTCTATCTGTCCTCTCAATTTAGTAAAACTAAGTGGAAACTGATATTTTTCAGTCAAATGTTCCAAAATAACATCCGTTGTTACCGAATTAGCACCGACCTCTCAAAGGTGATGTATCAAATACTTGGACACTCTGGTGTTTAATGGATACATGATGGGATATTCTTTTTGATGCATGAGATCTACTGAATATAACATGCGCGCGCACACATGCACACAAATTTGCAACGCACATAGATGTAGAATGGTTGTATCCAGTAACTGCAAAGTTAAAATCTAATTCAAATGGTGTAATAAACAGAATCCTCCACCTGTTGACTTACCTAGCGCGTTTAATGCCCACCTTACTATCATCTTGTTTGCCTATCTAAGGACGGAAGAGCCACTGTAACAATGTTCATGTAGCTAATGAATCAGAAAACTTGGAGGAATTTAATGTAGTCAGTAGACTCAATACAGTGAACATAACACATGCACACACATAAATTGCACAGGCCTATATGTATCAAAGATTTATTATAGATACATCATATAACCTATGCTAAAAAGTTAAAATCATACGGTATGAAATGTGGGTCCACAATTCTATTTCATTTATGCTTTCAAAGAAAAAAATTCTATTTCATTTATAGATAGTTAGATACATTGCATTTACATATTTTATCTGAAGAGTATGATCATTCATCTACTTAAATTTTAGAGAGCAAGAAAAAAATTCACTGTCTGATATATAATTATATACACATATATTTGTACATGCATTCATATATAAGTTTACATGATTTTGGTTCTCCAAAAGTTTTTAGGATTTACTCTTCTACGTACCTACTCATTTTGTATCCATATTGAAGCATATGTGTATATATGTATTGTATGTTTATATAAGTTTTGCCGCAACCATTCTGCGCCATTGTTTTAGCCTTTCAAATGTCATCATATTGTAGTGCATCAATCTTATAGTACCTAATCCCCTATCTGTGTCCTTGCTTGATATGTTATAGTCAAGCATTTGCTATTAATAACATATAACTCTTGTCTCTTGCCCATAATCAAGGAATTATGGATATACTTTTGTTTTGGTATAAAATACCAATCAATTACAAAGTGAAAATCATGACATAATCCTGTCCAAAAACTTTATCATGACTCAATCAAATCCTAAGTTACAAGGATCTAATATCTACCCTTTTCTTCTATTGATATCAAATCGTACATACTTATAATATTAAATACTCAATCAGAACAAAAAAAAGTAATGTAGTCCTCCTAGTCCTCCGGCCAGTACTTAATCTCTATGGTGTTTTCAGGTAATCTGTTTCAGCAAATAAAAGGAAATTTATCTATCAATAAACTATGGTATTGGACCGTCAATAATGATTTTCTGTTGAGTTTGGACACTTGATCTCCACTTTTATTATGTCAATATTAATTACTACTATTGGAATCAGGGTTCTTAGTCAAAAGGACAATTATACGTCTCACTATCAAGGATACTTGAGTTTTTTTCCCTAAATGAGTTTTTCCCAGTCCAGTCTTCCCGATTGCAACCATTCAGGTAAAGAATCTAAAATGATTTGGTGAAGAATCTAAAATGATTTACACTTTCACTTGTCCTGAAATATATATGACTTGCCATCTTTGTAATATCAATTCTTTTTTCACTATTTACTGGCCAAGTCATCAGTTATGATCTCACAGGCAAGCACATACACATATTATTAACAAACTAAAGATCATGCAATACATCTCAGAGCTCTCAAAATATATATGTTCCATAGTTCTGAGTTCATATATAGCATATCTTCCTTTAAGTAGATTGCATGAAATCGGGAAAGTGCAGATCATATGTATTTCTGTAAGCTACTCATCCTTTCAAATGAAAGATACTGGGCAGAAACACTAACACCAAAGAAACATTTCACTCCTCAAATAGGAGCATTGGACATAAGATGCAATCCCATAGGGACATTTACCAACTATCTACAAAAGGTACAAAAACTTACAAGCAGGTTCAAGATTAAATGCAAGAGTTTCTTGAGCAATAAAATAGAAGAGTTAGCAATATAAGATAAAAGAGTTCAGGAGCACTAACTAGCTTTCTAAGCAAGCTGATAAAAGCAATGCAGCAACTCAAAAGAACAAAACATAATCATACACCAACATACCTTGTAGAAACAGCTAGTCCCAAATGGACATGTCCCATTACCGAAGTCGAAGTATTTGCAATCAATAGACCTGCCAAAATATCATAAAATATTAATCCACCATGAAAATTAACTGATTGTGAAAAGAGTACCACGGGGTTAAGCATGCAATAATGGTAGTTAATGATTGTCGGCTAATAAGAAAAAACTATATGAACTTCTAATCACCCTATCTATCATATTAAGCTGTTGACCACAGAAAGAGAAGAGAATCTATGTCCCCAGGAACCCAACCTCAACAGAGTAACCTATATAGCTAGGAAAAGTAAGCAAGAATCTCTTTTTCAAAGCATTGGGCTTTCGTGATCTAAAATATTACTTCTTGTTCCCTCTATATGGTAGATCATCCAAAATCTCTAATCCACATTGACTGCTATATCACATTGGGCTTGAACCAAGTCAAACACTCTGTTCTTTTCAAGCTGGTTGAATGGATTACAGATCCTACTGTTGTTTCAACTTTTCAAGCAAAATAGTGTACAGATGGAAAGATATTTAGCCAGAGAAAACCTCTTCCTCATCTTGACAATTGAAAATCTTATAACTCATATCCTTAAAAAATAACAGCCAGGCCTTTCTCATACAGTATTATCAATATTTTAGGCCCAGTCATATAACAAGTTAAGATAAAGTGATGATTAGTAGCAACTTGCCAACTTCTACAGTTCAATACTAAAGTTGGAGAATTGGAGATGAAGCAAATCTCCCAAAGACCAATCTCTTTAAAGAAATTTTAGTTCAGTTTTATTATTTAGTTTATTTTTGAATTCTAATCTAGTTGGGCTTTGGTGTGTTTTATTTGGAGTTGTTTTACTTTATTTTATTTATTAATTTTTTTTAATTAGGATTTGAAATCCTAGTTCGTTTAGTTTATAAATATGCATCATTATATTACTTTTTATAACCAATTGATGAAAAAAATAGTTTTTGTTGATATTGCAACTGAGACTCGTGTGATGCCAAAGAAGTGACTCCAAAAATCCAAAATCTGAACATCCAACTTCTTCGCTCATATGATGTTTATCCAGCCCATGCCTCATCAAAGTGATTTAAGAGTAAAAATGATAAGTGAAAAAGAACTTATTATGCCTCTTTTTCTCTCAGCTACACAAGTTAACACATGACAAATGAAGACAGAACCAGGAAATTTAAATAAGTGTCCTATCAGCGAGAAAAACAAACTTAAAAGTGTCCTATAACATCTAATATCCACAAAACATTTTGTTCATTGAATTATATCTAAGCTTATTGCCAAAAAAAAGCTCCACCTAGTTGATATGCTAAAAGTTAGAAGTTCCAAATAAACTCTGTTGCAGAGCAGGGATATAGCAGAATATTCAAGGATGGAGCTTGGCTGCATAAAAAATGGCCATAAGCAGCCAACTTAGGTTGTAACTAAATATATGTCCAAATCAAGGTTTTGAATATCGGATATCATGGAAATATCAGACAGCCAAATTCATTAGATTGCAAATATCGTGGAAATATCAGGAACATGCAGTAAATATTGAAGTGCCATATCGGATGAAGTGCATATGAAATATCATGTCCTAAAAAGGAATCTAAACATACTTAATGAAATCTAAGTCAGTGTTGTTAATACATGAGGCGCAATGCGGAGTGCAAAGTATCTTTACACGCACATGTGAAAGGCGCAACGCGATGCGCGCGCCCGAGTGATGCGAGGTGCACACGACACACATAATTTTTCAAGATAGATAATCAAGCACGATAGAACATGTTTAGGAATTCACATAAAAAATATGTCAGCATGTAACTATCTTACCATCAAATCACAATACAAGGTCTTAATTTTTAATGCTAATTGCTAACACATCCAACATAGTAGCAAAGTTCATAATTTTTCAAATCAAATGTCAAATCAAGACTAAGATCCAAGCAAAATCAAATAGCAAACGAGGATTAGTTAGGGTCCTCAATTGAAGGCTATTAAAAAGGTCTAATGAATTTATTTTGCTTTTTGGGATACAGGTTATCAAGAATAAAGACTCGATTGAAATATTAACGAACAAAAATATACAACGCTATGTACTAAATGCACCCTACGCAAAGTCGGCATGCTTGCGAGGCCAAAAGGCGTTGCAGGCTTGCAGCATCAGATGTACGACGCTTCGCCACCGCCCAGCATCACAGGGCTCATGAGGCGCAGTGAGGCACGCGGTTTTGAATTTAAAATGTAAATAATATATGTTTAGGATTACTAATCGATTGTAGAAACTTGGGAAAATAGCCTACTCGACCAACAAACTTCATAGGATTGAAACTAAGGTTCATGTTAAGACATATAATAAATATTTGAGTAGTTTTTTATGTAGTTTCGTATGTATGGTCAGAGAAAATTCATATGTAATCATAAAAAATTACCATCACCATTCTTTTATGGAGATTTTAGAAACTCCTTTATTATTATCCTCAATTTTCAATTTCTAGGGGAATCTTTTTGAGTTTGACTTATTTATTTAAAGTATGTTCAATATCTGCCAAGTAATTATAACTGCATAGAATGTTTTTACAAAATTTCAAATAAATATAATAAACCTAAAACTCTAAACAATTGGTGTAAAATTTATTTATCCAGGAACTTAGTAAAACTTGTAAAGAAAGATGGACCTTTTTACACTCTTTTGATTCTCCACAAACAAATAGATGGTAGAAATAAATTGGAAACATATCAGACATAAGGCCAATTATATGAAATGACCACAATTTTCAGATCCAACCTTCCCAGGTAGACAAGAGAATTCTTTCAGTGGTTCTAAAAGTAAAATTTAGGTTAAAATTACAAGAAACTACAATGATTCTTTCAGCACATATACAAGAAAACTATGATGACCTTATTTAAATGTGTGACAACAATGAAATGGAACATGGTACAAGTTTTCACTTCATATATAAACCCTATAAGGTGTGAAAGGGAAGCTTTGAATTACCTTTTGCCAATTTGTAAACTAAATTACAGAAAAAGAATCAAGAACTCATCATATATGAACAAAGTAACATTAACTTTCCATAAATTAGAAAGAATGTTTCTCCAAAAATATTCAGAATAACTGACGTTGTCAGCTATTAACTTATCAACTATTTTACTACTAATAATAAGGAAATATTTCTCAAAAGTTCATGAAACTGAAAAGAACAGAATTTTACTATATAATTATAAATAACAAAAAATGTTCCTCCAATTTATAATAAAATTGAAACTAATATTATTTCTCAAAGACTTCATTAACATATAAGAAGAAAAGTTTCCGCAATAAAAATTATCACCAGTTTTATTTGTCCATTTAATTAATTGTCCGTAACTATATAAGTTATTGAGCCTACTTCTTCTGTTGCTGTGGGTACTTCTGCTTATTCAAGCCTACTTCTTTTCCCAGCAGTTCAATCCAACATCAAACTCATGGAAACCCAAACTCCTCGTATACCCCTGCTCTTTAAACCAAATTCATATTCCATTTAAAACACGATTAGACTTCTTAAAACTAAATTCTTCAGACCACTCAAAACGCAATCGAAAGTACTTCTCTTTGTGCCCAATTAAAAACTGATGAAAACCTCTCTTTATATCCACCTATCTGAAGAACCTTTTTGAGCTCAGTAAAGCCTGAATAGAGTGAAATTATGAAAACCTATATGTCAAAGAAATGTCACATTGGACACGAGCAAGACATGTAACAGACTCTTAACATTTCATGGTAAGCAATGCTAAAATTTGGTACGAACAACAGAAAACAAGATAAGTAGTTTTAGAGCTACATTAATTGACATGGAAATCAAAAGCATAACAGAATCTGGAAAAATAACCCAGGATTTATGAAGGTCAAACAAAAGATAGCCTATGTTTAAAGCAATGTAAAAGGATGCACATTGATTGACATGGGAATCAAAAGCATAACAGAATTTGGAAGAATAACCCAGGATTTATGAAGGTCAAATAAAAGAAAGCTAATGTTGAAAGCAATGCAAAAGAATGCACAGTACATCCAGTAGAAACTACTACTATCATTTATGAGGTACCTGGCATGTAAATATGCAAAAGGAAGACACATCCATGTATCAGCCAAAATGATTGTCCAGTATAAAAATAATCAAATGAAACGAAAGGAATTATAAATAGCAACGTTGCAATGAATTCTTCTATTCAAGAAAAAAAAGGCAAATCTAATAATCTCAGTACCATTTTGGATGATTTTTTCAATGATTAATTTTTATTTACTGACAAATACCAATCAAACAAAAATTAATTGTGCATGCTTTATGATACTTTAGCTTGTTTCGTGCTCCCCATAAATGGGAAGTTCAATTCTACAATCAGCCATTTTACACTAATTAGTTCTATAGATGCAGTATTGAGGTGATCGAGGTTACCCATAAGTAAATGAAAAGAAACATTATAATGTTTATTCAAGAAAGTAAAATTAATAATAGGTAAGTAGAAGGATACTTGAGCTTGTCTTTGTAGCTATTGACTATCTCTTGCTTTTCCTCCTGTGTAGAGTACCAAATAACACTTGGAATGACAAAGTATGATAGCTTTCTGCATATTGGACACGCCCTCAATGCAGAGTTGACATCCATGCCAGAGGCTGGAGAATTGCTACGCCAATTTCTGATACATGATATGCAGAAAGGATGGTCACATTCCGAAAGCAACCCAAACTTCCTTTCTCCAGCTGTGGGTTTAGCAAGAACACGGTCCAAACACACGCTGCATTCTATCTCTTGACTCCGTCTTAATGCTTCAAGACGTTTGCTATTTTGTTTGCATGTTCTAATATGATCCTCTCTCTCATCAGGCCTATATGGGTGTAAGCAATGCTTTCCACAGATAGAACATAAATCGCCATGAATGTGAGGACATCTTTCTCCATGAGGACAACTACCAGCAGCAGCAAATGAACAGATTGGTTGGTCAGCCAGACTGGAAGATGCCACATAATGGCCATCTATACTGTCTGGAAGCGCATAAGCATCATGTTTCTGTGACCAGGCAGCTTCAACAGGAGGGCACACAGAACCACTCAGTGATGACTGCTCTATGGGACTGCTAAAACCTGACCTGAGCTCTCCGCTCAAGGAAACAACAGAAGTTACTTGAACAGAACCTGATGCTACAGGAGGGCGAGAATGGGATGATGGCGATGCAGATGTTTGATGCCGAGAAACTTTGACATGTTCGTACCTGCACCGGCTACCGTAAGAGCACACCCCTTTCTGATAAAAGGTGCATATCTGTAATAATAGCAAAAAAGGTATTAGAGTACATTGTATAGAGCAAAGAGCTAAAGTGAAAATAAGGTAAATAGAGTTTAATGGTATTACATTGTTGGCCTGGTCTTTCCAATCATGTGAAAACTCACAATGCTCCCCTTTCAAACATGCTCCATGTGAAAAGAACTTACACAGAACCCTGGAAGAGTTAGCAAAGTATATGAGAATCAAAGACGATATGACTATGAAAGTACAGCCAGAATGTGTCATCAAAAAGGAAAAACATTAAATAGTCATGAGTGACAATTGCAAGAGAAAGAATCTGAATGTCAGGCACCATTAGTGCCAATTTGCAAGATCGTCTTTAGTTTACAACTTTCACATAATGAAGAAACGATTTATTTTTTTCAGAAAGTTATCAAAGTAAGACCAAGTGGAGCTTGGCATGAAAGTAAAGAGGAAATGAGGAACTCAGTAATAAGCCTTTTAATGGATGGTATTACTTGTAATAATACATATATACATAACCTACACACCCATGCATAAAGGTACAAAATACATGTATGCAGGTGAGTATAAGAAGGAACAAATAAATACAATATGTAAACATGTTAAGTAAGCACGTAAGTATACATGTATGACAGTTTATCTGATTTACTCAACAGGTACCAAGATACATTAGGCATACTAGTTTTCACACACATACATGCAGAAAAACTATGATCTTATAAATCACCAACAATCTATGATGCACGGATACGGATACGGGACACGGATACGACACAGATACAGGATACGGCAAAATCCAAAAAAATAGGATACGATGATACGACAAGGAATTTTTTTTAATTATTATTATATATAGAAAAATATATAATAATAATAATGGGTTGAAGGTTTTTTTTAACAGAGAATGATTTCGGGATCCAACTCACGCGGATTCATTTCTAACAGAGATCCAGATCAAAATCCATTACTTAATGGGTTTAAGGGTTTTTTATAAAAATCCAACATATTTCTTATCCACTAGTCAATCATTCAAAACCGACGCAAAGGCTCGACCCATTCGATCAAAACCCAGAGCCCATGGCATTGCCGTAATTAACCTACAAATCAAAGCCCACTTCTCACCGCAAAATCTGTTCAAACTCGCTTCCTTCTTCGAAATTCCGCTACCCACCAATTCAGCTCGATAAATATCCATCGTTAGTCTTCTCAAAAAAAATAAGTGAAGAGAGACAAAGAGAAAAGAGAGAGAGAGATGAAGAGATCCAGAGAGAGAGACGAAGATATGGAGAGAGAGACGAAGAGATAGAGAGATCCAGAGAGAGGGAGAGACGAAGAGAGAGAGAGACTGACATGTGATGACTGGAGCCGAGATCGACGAACGTCGAGGACGAGCGACGAGGATGATCGACGACCGTCGAGGACGAGGAGATCTTGAACAGTGAGGGATCGACGAGGACGAGGGATCGTGAGGACGAGGATGAAGAGATCTGTTTTGTGGCGGTGTTGGCGTCGGGTGAGTGTAAACTATGAAATTAGGGTTGAGTTTTGGGTTTGGGTTTCGGGTTTTCTTCTTTCTCCGTTTTTTTCTTTCAGTTCGGCGTATCCCAACCGTGTCCCAAGCTTCCGTTGACCATATCCCCCCTGATTGAACTGTTGACCCGTGTCGGACACGGATTGACCGTGTCCGACACGTGTCGTGCACATGTCATGACGAATCAGTGTCCGATTCGAGTCAGACACGGATTCGTGGCCTTCGGGGGCAAATCCATGCTTCATAGCCGACAGTGTTTCAATCAAGCCAGTTCGGATCATTAAACCATACTGAATACATACAACATCGTTCATCAAATTTCCTAATAAAAAAGAATCCAACATTAATCGAGAAACTAAAACCTCTAGATAAATCGTTCCCTTACTCAATTCTAACATGTTTTCTGAATATGATGGGACACAAAAACTATATAATATATGATAAGGAATCAACTTACACTATTAACGTTGGTAGTTTTCATTAATTTTTAATCTTAAGAAAAATTATATTAATTGATTATCAAATATGTTAAAATTTCAGACTCTATATTCAACAATTATGACTATTTTGATCTATGCTTGTAATTTATCTAAATTGTTCTGGTTTGGTCTTATCCAAGATCAGGTATACTCTTAATATGAAGAAAAACTCATTTTCAAAAACTAGAGTCAAACTAAATGGCATCGTTTTAGAAACAATAGGCGCTTCATGGGCCCAGTGCCTCAGAGTCTAGCATTGCTTGGCGATGAATTTTATCCAAAAGAGAGGCACCAACACCTGATGTATTGAAGGAAAAGACTAAGAGACAAGAGAAAGAGGGGGGAAAAGAGAGGCACGAGAGGAGAGAAAATCTAAGCACCGCATAGGAAGTTGAATGGCGCATTTCTGCTACAATTGGAACTTGGAAGCACAGGAGGAAAAAGAATGGAGGAGATTGAAATCATGAAGATCCATATTAGTTAAATAAAACTATATAACAATATAGTAAAGATAAACTATCTCTACAGAATACTTGATAAGTGATAGTTTGGCAAATGCGAAAGCCAGGTGAAACGCAAATAAAAGAGGAAAGGAGGGTTTTCTCAAATAAAACCTCTACCCACTCTTTTAGATTACTAGTATAATACACTGCACGTGCTTTGCACGTGGACATGTTGTTGTATTTAATATTATATTATTTAATAAATTATATATAAACATTTAACAAAGTTATTTAGTTGCACTATGAATAAAAATTTTTAAGTTATACTACAATTAATACTCATACTATTATTACCATACATTTAATAGTTATTTAAATTAGCTTATTATTATATTATTAAACAATTTATTTAGGAGTATAATTATTAAATAATAATGTAATCATTAGTTTAAGTAACACTATTGATATAATTAAACCATTTATATTATTAAATATTTATGCTATGGGCATACTTTACTATAATATTTATTAAATAATGGCAGTAATTTTTAATATTATATGACTTTATGTTATAAAATATATTACCTTGCTCGATAATTAATATCATCTTAGTAATAAAAAATTGGATGATATAAATTTAAAATACTATTATTTTGGAAAAGTACTTTATATAAAAATATTGGACCCTTGAAATTTATGAGACATTTACTTTCCAACAAAAAGTGAATAACTCATAGATTTCAAAAATCCAATATTTTTATATAAAGTAATTTTTCTAAATAAAAGCATGTTTAATTCATAATGTCTAATTTTTATTACTAAGATGATATTATAATATCGAAAAGGGTGATATTCCTTACAATATAAAGAATCAATCCCTATTTATACTATTATTAATAACTATAATTAAATATAATATTTTATTAAATAAAAGTTTAACTATTTCATTACAATTAATAATTCTTTTATAATGAATTATAATATATTTATTAACTTTATTATCATTATAAATTATTAATATATTCTAGTGAGTGACCAAGTATTTTGCGAAAAAGAAGAGAAAAGTATATGTCTCATAAATTTCATGGATCTAAATATTTTTATATAAATTAATTTTTCAAAATAAAATTATTTTTTATTTATAATGCCCAATTTTTTTTTACTAAGATGATATTAATTATCGAACAAGGTAATATTTTTTGCAACATAAAGAAGTAACCCTATTTATACTATTATTAATAATTATAAGTATGTGCACTAATTTATTAAATGAATGACTTTTACTATTTTATATAACTAATAATTATTTATAATAAATTATCATATATTTACAAATTTAGTTATCATTATAAATTATTAATATATTCTAGTGAATGACCAAATAATTTGAGAAAATGAAGAGGTGCATAGTTAATAAGAGGTTATCGATCATTAGTTTTATAAACAATGGTATAATTGTGAGAGATAAAAAATTAAGAGGGTAAAAAGGGAAATCAAAAGTTTTGACATGGGTATTCTCTTTTATAAGAAGTATAGATAGATATAGATATAGATTGGATTTAGAACTCAGGTTTTGACCCAACCAGTTTTAACCCAACCTGCTAATGTTTCACCCATTATTGTGCTTAAGTGGGCCCTGATAAAGTTCAGAAATACGGCACAACTCAGTGGTGAGGATACTTGATCTATAGGTTCCATTGCCATGATGCAGAAAAGCTAATATCATCCTGTTTTCAATTTCTATCCTAAACTTTATCACACTGAATTTCGCTCTATATTCCAGATGAACAATTATGTTATTTGATTCCCATCTTACTCATTTCTTCTCTCTTTCCTCCTCCTAGATCCCCTAAAGTCATAAACACTTCACTTAGCTCAAGTCTTTCCTACCATGATCTAGTAAGAGAAGTTTACATAGCAGCAGTATCAAAACATTATCACACATCCCACCAGCAGACTCTTTCTCTCGAGAAGAAAACTCGCTTAGTCCTTTAGCCTTCCTGCAAAAGTTTATCATGCATCCTCTACACCTCTCTCTCGACCTCAATGAACGACTCCTCGTACTCAAGAAAAGTTGAAAGAAAGCAAATACGGTCAATGCAAGTTAAATAAAACAAAAATAAGTTGCCTTACGAAATAATCATTGATGACAAGTTCCTAACCAAAAGTAATCATCAAAAATCAATGCTAAATCTTCAGTTAATCATTCAGTTCCACTTGTTGTAGACTTGTAGTTATTCAACAAGTCCTTGACCCTTAGAGATCACGGACTCAACCTGGTGTCGATTGACGCTCTAAACTGAAATTGTCCATATTACGAAGCATAATGGACTCGAACTCTTCCTTGATCGCATGCCTCATCTAGTGGCATTTTACAATTGCATCAGCTTGATAAAGACGAGACTTTCTTTCATGAAAAGTTAGTGATATCCACCTAATACCAATGGTTTTCTGATGGACACCGCTGTCAATGAAACTAATCACCACATGTAGTGAGATGAATGGATGCAGATCATAAACATGCGTCTACTTTTGCCTCCATGAAAGACATGATTATAGGACCACGAATACCTCCACAATCGTTTCGCTAGTTGGTGTCTAGATGTGGGGTAATAACTATTTCCACCCTTTTATACCTAAAGAAATATTTACTCTACTAGGAAAGCCAGCAACAGGCCCAAAAAATGTATATACTATCCAACTTCCGCAACTCGATATTTGTATGGTGAAATCGAAGTGCCTATAAACAAAACAAAAAGAAAAGCGCTTGCTAGGTTGTGCAACAGACGCCTTCAAAAACATGATCGTGTCCTGCTGTGAATTGGGTCAATTCCATTAAACAACAAACGATCATGGTAGTGGACAAAAAGACGAAGATGATGTTGAGAGATTATTGACATAAAACTCAACGGCTCTGAAGATCTGCTCCATTTCGCTAGCCCCCGCGAGTTCACGTATCAGCATAGAGTATTGTACCACCTTTCAGAGCCTTTCGTTGCTCCACAAAAATTGTTTCCAAAATTGTTGCGCAAATATAATCCCGCAACAGCTAGGACTTGTAATAGGAGCAGAATCAATAGTCAAGAGACTCGTGTAGAATCACTGTTGAGACTTGTAATAGGGAGCAGAATCAATCGTGACTTAAAGAATCGAGCTACAGAAAACCCCCAATCTTGTAAAAATCTCCGTCAAAATTAGACAATCTCACGTTACGAACGATTTTCCAACCAAACGAACCATACAACCCAACAACAATCATACCGTGTATATCAAAATCCACGGAATCGCACATTAAAACTCGCATCGCGGCGATCAGAAAATAACAGCTATCGAGTAGAAATCCAAGTTTACAACTTCAAATCGAAAGAGGGAAAAAAAGGATAGAATGATAATATACTTGGTCCTGGGCTGATCTCCGGCAGGGAAACGACTGGACGGCATCGGATGAACCGACACGAAATCAATCGAATGTTTCGTTTCGGTTTCGTTTCGGCGACCTGATTGTGACTTGGCAGGAGAGCAGAGAGATTTCTAGGGCTTTTCGGGCATTGGAGAGCCTCAGGAGGCGGCAGCAGCAGAATAAATAAATAAATAAATAAAATATAAAAGCACAATAGTTTCCCGAAAAGACGCTTTGTGGCCTAAAATGAGGTGCTACGGTGCGCTTCGGATGAAATCAAAACCCCCTTCCGTGATGCGTCTATGATGATTCGGATACACGGAGAATATGCTCCAGAATAATACTGAAATACGCTAAATTACCAAATTGTTATTTTTTTAGGGAAAAATGTTATAAGGCCCCAAAAAAAAGATCCAGTTGTGTATAGCCCCCCTGTATTTTTTTTTTGTGTGATCAAACCCCCAATACCCAACTCAATAACGGTTCAGTCCCATTTACATTTTCCAAGCAACTCTGAGAGCACAGTACCTCTCTTAAGACGAAACTGCCCTTGTAACTGTTCGTCCCCCCCAATCCGCCCTCCCTCTTTCTCTCGCTCGCGCTCTTTTCTCTGCAGACCCACAAATTTCCCCAAAAACTCGAATCTCCTTCAGCGGTCGAACCCAATTTGAAAACCCTAGTTTGACTCTAGCGGCCAGGAAACCCACAAGGAAAATGCCGAAGAAAATTATAAGAAAAATAGCTAAGAACCCTAAACGACGCACGGGTGAAGTAGACCTGATTCAAACGGAAGCGGACGTTCGTCACCGGCGTCGGTCGGCACGACTTGCGCAGGAGGAACTACCAAATTTATCCCCCTCCACCTCCGCCTTGATATCTCACGCCAGCGATTCTGTTCCGCCATCCTCTGATGATGAGGAGAGTAATGAGGCGATGGAAACCCTATTGAGCATGAAAAGTCAGGAAAATTGAGAGCGCAAGAGGAGACGCTCGCCGGAGGATGTGTCCATGTCAAAGAAGAAGTAAGTTCCTAATCAATTGAGGGTTTTTGAATTTAATTATTTTAAATGAGTGATGTTGATTTTAATTGTGGTTTATGGGATTTAATTATTTTAAATGAGTGATGTTGATTTTAATTGTGGTTTATGGGTTCCTTTTTGAAGGAAATGGCAATTGTTGATAGGTAGTAGCAATGCATGTCAATAATTTGTGTTTGTTGTTAACGTTTACTCTTAAGAGTCAACTATTAGCTAATCATGTTAATAAGTCGTGATTTTGACTATGTTAATGCCTTTTCTGTTGATTGTTACGTAATTTAAAGTTGAGTTGAACGGCTTGTTAAGAGTAAATTGTTGTTCATTCAGGATAGTTGTTGCATTAGGTGATATTAGGCCCAGTGCCTGTCTTGGAACGTATTGTTCCTTCATGCAAAAACTACAACCAAAACTGAAGAAGTGGCATTGGGATGCCTACAAGGGCTGTAACTTTGAGCACTATGTGTTCTTTAGTCCCCCAGCACGCGATCGACGGGCACTAGAGTATGTGCTCAGCCATTATACTGACGAAACTGATGAGTTCTCTTTTCCCGACCCCAAGAGCGTACACCAGAAGCTGGTAGCATGATGAGATATGTCGAGGAGTTGCTGGAAACACTTGTTGAGTCCTCTGATAATAAGGACATTGAGGATTTTGTGTTGCTTCAGATATTGTACCAATGTGCAACGATTTGGTGCCCCAACAGCTCTCAAGGCATCCCAAGACAATTGTTTCAATATGTAGATAGTATCGAGAGAGTGAAGACCATTGCGTGGGGTAAATTTATTTTTGATGAGACGAAGAGAGGCATTCAAATTGCTGTTCAAGGGATGAGGAAGCCAGGGGTTACATACGTACCTGGATGCATGCCGCTCATCCCTGTATGTTGCATGATCATCTGGCTTGACATTTGATCTAGTTAATAGGAGTCATGGTAACATGCATTAGAAAACATGTACAACATTGGACGTTAATAGGTTAACATGTTAAAATCAACATGTTAACATGAAGTTTGACATATAAAAGTAAAAGTTAACATTAATAGGTGAAAGTTAACATGTTAACATAAACTTTAACATATAAAAATTAAAGTTAACATTAATAAGTGAAAGGTAACATGTACCCAGTAATGTTAACATGGGTTAGTGAAGTGAATGCTAGCTATTTAGTATGTTGTAGTTCAAGAAAGAGTTATGCAAGTTAACTATTTTGACAATTAATCCTTCGATTCTGACAGCTTTGGTACTTTGAGATGACTGGCATTAAAAAACCAACCCTAAACTTGAGGTGGAAGCCTCCGCTGACCAACTGGGTAAGGGTCGGAGGGACGGCTGGATCTCTGAGGATGGAGACAATCGTCTCTAAGGCCAAGAAAGCAAGCATAAAACTTGAGGAGAAACCAATTTCACTTAGCATTGGATGGGGTGAAAAATACCCTCAAAGGGAGCCCAGCAGGAAGAAGATTGAATTCACTCGCTTTGGGAAAAATAGAAGCCCAACGTCCGGGAAGCAAGAGAAGAAAAGGAGTAATGGGCAGACCAAAGAGCAAACTAGGCCGAGAAAGATGAACGAGGAAGAAAAGCAGAAGGCTGGGAAGCAAGAGAAGGTGATGGGCAGACCAAAGAGCTCATCTGTGGGTTACGTAAGCAGCAATGACTCTTTACACATCACAGCATATTTACATTGAGTTAAATATTTTATCGTTATCATTAATTCATTTTCAATTTGCATTGTTCCATGTTAACTTTCTTTTATGGGTTTTCATAACTATTCTGCTTAATCTTGTGGATTTACATGGGTAAAGGGTATATGGTTTACTTTTCAGATTTTGTCCCAGCATATCGCTGATGCTTTTTCAAGAGAAGATGAAATAGATAAGTTGGCACCTACAGAGCAAATTTATTTTTAGAGGAATACGGCCAATATAAATTGGAAATTGCTCCACGCTGTCAAGCGTAGCAAGCGCCTTCAATGGGATGCTTGGTCCTAGGAGATACATAGGTTGAACAAGAAATTAGAGCGCTATGAAGGGATCGAAGACTTGATTGATCCCGAAGACCTGAAGAAAAATGTGAGGGAACTTATGTCACAAAGTGATAGGCATAAAGGGTATGCACTGAGGAAAAGAAGAAAGAGTGTTGATTCTAATGATATGAGTGATAACGAACATTGGCAAGGAAGCTTCTCATATGGATGCTGTTGCGCAAACAGAGAAGGAGGCAGAGAAAGGTGAATGGCAAGAGATGGAGAAGAAAGAGGAAGAGAGAGAAGATGAGAAGAAAGAGGAAGAGAGGGAAGATGAGAAGAAAGAGGAAGAGAGTGGAGATGAGAAGAAAGAGGAAGAGCAAGAGATGGAGATGAAAGAGGAAGAGAAGGAGGCAGCGAAGGAGGAATGGCAAGAGATGGAGGTTGACAAAGAGGGGAAAGCTGTGGCTAGTGAGGAGGATAAGGATAAGGTGCAAGTTTATCGGAAGACACATCTAGTCCGAACCCCTTTCACTGAAGGAAAGAAGAAGGACGGTCGTCCAGATATAATTAACATTTAACATATCACCACACAAGGAGGAAGAGAGGGATAAAATCAGGTTTTATTGTAAGCCTGAGGAATGCACTTGGGATTTTCTTGGGAAGAGGAAAATCAAGAAGAAGGAGGAGGCTCTATTGAAGTTGCTAAACGAGGGTATTCCCAACGTTGATGATTTTAGCATACGTGTGATTGATAGTGAATGAACCTTCGTTCACAACTTTAGAGTGCATCATCATATAGCAGCAAAGCTCACACCAGACGAGAACAGATGGCTCTCTCAGTTCTACAATGAAACAGCCCATCAGTAAGTTTAGACATTCTGATTAACCGTGGCTACAACATGTTAACTTTCATTGTTACATGTTAATGATTATAGTTTTATGTTAACTTTCATTATTACATGTTAATGATTATAGGTTTATGTTAACTTTCATAGTTACATGTTAATGATTATAGGTTTATGTTAACTTTCATAGTTACATGTTAATGATTATAGGTTTATGTTAACTTATACCTATTTGTGCCAACGTTTGCCAAATCATGTTTATATTTGCAAATCCAGTTAATATATAGCCTGGTTTATGTTAAAATTTGGATCTTATTGTTATGTTTCAGGTCACGTATTATTGTTAAGACATTAAACAGCAGCATTGATTCGACGGAGCTTCTTTATCTTCTACGTGGCGGGCGTATCGATGACCATGCAAGTTCAATATGCTACTCTCAATATGTTAATCTTTTACGCAATACTTGGATTTACTGCATGTTGAGATGTTATGCAATCTAATTTGCATCTTCAGTTAACAGGTCATGGAAGCTCTTATAGATAGGCTCAGCACATGGCTAGAGAGGCCAGAAATTGGTTCTGTTGGCATGAAATATGGGGTCGTGTCAGCATTTTACTGCGTAAGCATTAGCTTCAAACTCCCAATGTTTTTTAACTCCTGTTTACAAATGGCTTATCATTATTTGCTTGGCAATACAGCATAGCATTTACGCAGTGAACCCAGATTACGCACATTTATACACCTCGTTCATACAAAAGCATGTCGCCACAAATAAATCAGTACTCCTTATCCCGCTTGTGCGGCATGACCACTGGCATGTTGTTGAAGTAAGGTTGGACGAGGATGTTATCAAGCATTACAGCTCTGCAGGCCATAGTGCATACCTGGAGCCAATAAATAAAGTAATTGATTTCATGGATCACATGAAGGCTGGTTTTGATCCTAATAATGTTTGGAAGAAATTCCGATATAAAGCCGTCCCTTGCGAGCAACAGCGTGGAACGTTAGTGTTTCACACACTTAAACATTTTCATTTTATTCAGCATCAAATATCTAACTATATTTCCAATGTATATGATGTAGGTTTGATTGTGGGCTTTTCGTTCCTTTATATATAACGGCTATAATACAAGGGACTGATACCAGTCAGGTAACTAATCCCGCTGACGAGTCCGACATCATCCGTGCCAAGCTTGCAGCTGAACTCCTAATTGAAGGATGGGAACAGAAAAAGAATTACGTGGATGGGCTAGAAAAGGATGGGTGAATGATGTCAGGAAAAGTTATGTATTGTGCAGTTTGTTGTGGGAGAAAACTAACATGCATATTAATTTAGATGTATAACTAGAGAAAGGCTGTGTAAC